GTGTTTACTGTATTGTGCCTGTTGTTTATTTTGCTTTATTCTGTTTTTAATTGTTTGATTTGCTTAGATTGTATTGTTGTGTTGTGTGTTGAGGCCTCGGCCTGTGTAAGCCGCATCGAATCCTTCGGGAGATGCTAGCGGGGTACAAATAAAGTTTAATAATAATAATAATAATAATAATAATAATAATAAACATTACCTCTTGTCAGGAATGTAATTCGAACTTTGCCACTTTTACATAGGCTTTCTTGTGGAATCACTTTTCTAATACAAGACCAAAGCCATACTAAATGAGTGGTTTTGCACACATGTGACATTTGCTAAACACAGGCCGGATCCAGACACACCTTTATCCAAAAAAAAATTAAAATATATAAAATGCTTTGAATGCAATTTTCCTGCTTCTTGGCAGATTCTTCCAACAATATGATTCTATAACAAGCATCCACGTTTAAAAAATACAGATGTTTCTGGGGGTCTCTCCATGTGCTTTCTGGGGTGGGTGTCCAGACGTTCTTTTCCTCCCTCATCCCACCCCCCTCTCCTGGCGCATCAATTCTACGCACCGGGAGAGCCAGCCAAGGCTTCTAATGGAGGACATGTAAGTTTTTATTACTTTTCTAAGGGGTCTGGGGGTTTGGGGGTGGGTATTCCTACAGTTTACCGGGCTTACTTATTGTGGGAATGGTGTCAGACCCGAAAATAGTGGATTTATCCCGCACCTTCCAAAAAGGCGCGGAATAAATCCACAAATTAATTCGCTACAAACCAGGGTTTTCCTAGTTTGTAGCGAATTAATTCGGGACTGTCCAGAACGTCCTGAATTAATTCGGGGGCCCAGAGCAAATATGGGGGCCTCCCACACAATTAGAATTAGGGGGAAAGTTTCTATATCATACAATGAGTTTCCACCTCCCACTGATTTTTGAAATGGGCAAGGCAGATACATCAGCACACAACTTCAGGTAATACTGATCTAACAACAACACTGGTACTGGTATTCACTCCACAGATGCCATATTGCAATTCCCACCTTCTCTAACCATTTTATTATTTTTTCTACCTATGAGCAAAGATACATCATGTTGGTTGGTGCATGTGGAATGGCTGCTACAGAGCATAATAGTACAGGTAGTACAGGTGGGTTTACTTTTATATTTTATTGTTCAAAATGTTTGCCGATCTTGGTAAAATGGTGTAACTATATGAACTGGTGTCTTTGCTTATTCTCCCCTCTCTTCTTCACCTCTTTCTTCTTTTTGTCTGCGGAGTGTAAAGGCTGATAGTGGGATCTATCTTAGTTGTTTTGGGCCTATTTCACTGAACTCCTGCTAAAGAGCAAAGTGAAAGAAATGTTTTAAAGCAAAACATATATAAATAATAGTAAAAATATTATCTGCTCCATCAAATCTGAATGAAAGATGCATCTTAGCCACATTACTTGGAGACTAAATGTTTTTCCATTTAATGTCTTCAATCTTTTGGGGGCAGGGGAAGTTTGCAAAAAAAAAAATGAAATCTCTTAATCTGGGGAAATATGGAAGCAGCCCCTCCCTGAAGAAAAGGAGGGGACAAACCAGGACATTCAGCAGTGATTTCTTGCCCAAATCAAGGTTTTGGGCCAGTGTATACAAGCCCTTTATTCTCTAACATTATCTTCTTAAATGTATTGTTGTAGCAAATCAGTCTTCCGGATACTGATCAACTGCAACTCCCTGCATTCCTTACAATTGGTTAATGCCAACTAAAGCTAATGAAAGTTTCAACCCAGCAACTGCTGAATGTATTTTTTCCATCCATGCTCTTCAACAATATGTAAAGGTTTCCCCTTGACATTAAATCTAGTCGTGTCTCACTCTGGGGGTGGTGTTCATCTCCATTTCTAAGCCCAACAACACTCATTGTGCGTAGATGGTTCTGAGGTCATGGGGCTGGAATGACTGCATGGAGCACCGTTACCTTCCTGCAGAAGCGGTACCTATTGATCTACTCATGTTTGCATGTTTTCTAGCTGCTAGGTTGGCAGAAGCTGGGGCTAACAACGGGAGCTCACCCTGTCCTGCAGATTCAAACCACTGACCTTTGGATCAGAAAGTTCTAGAGCTAAGTGGTTTAACCCGCTGCACTACTGCGGCCCCTTAAAATACGATATGTATTTTAATTATTTATGATCTGCTATACCTTGGTGGTGCAGTGGGTTAAACTGCTGAGCTACTGAACTTGCTGACCAGGTTGGTGGTTCAAATCTAGGGAGCAAGGTGAGTTCCTGCTGTTAGCCCCAGCTTCTGCCAACCTAGCAGTTTGAAAGCATGCAAATGTGAGCAGATTAATAGGTACCACTCCGGCAGGATGGTAATGGTGCTCCATGCAGTCATGCTGGCTACATGACCTTGGAGGTGTCTACGGACAACGCCGACTCTTCGGCTTAGAAATGGAGATGAGCAGACCTTTTACATGTCATCTTATAATCGAAGTTAGTGGTTTGGATGAAATAAAATAAGTACCAATATTTTCAAGGACAGGTCACCACCTCTTCTATTTGTATATGACAGACAGAGGAAAATATAATCCAGGCATTTTAAACACTTTCCCCCCTCATCAGAGTTTGTTTTTATTTTCAAGAATATCATTTTTGTACTGTATAAGAAAAATTGATGGATTTCTTCAGACATTTAAAAATGACAGTCTGATCAACAATTTACGCGCCTTGTAAATTCATCCTGATAAAATCCTAAAGAGAATCTAGCTGCAGTACAAAATACACAATCGCTCTGAGAACTGTAGGGCAGCCAAAGAATTATCGCCTGAAAATAAGCATTTAGGTTCTACTATAAATTTGGGGGAGACATTTGTATGTAACATTAACATTAAATTTCAGTTCTAAATTTCAATAAGCCTAGAACTAATTAATTCTCACCACGACTTATAATTGGAGCAGAGCAATTCTGAAAAGACACCGGGGACGTTAATTATCTTTTTTATCTGAGGACTGCTGCGGGATAAAGAACATACAGAGGCTCCCCAACAGAGATGGAAATAAAAGCATAATGGGAAAAGAGAAGAATGTGAATAGATCTGGGGATGGGTTTGGTGCAAGCTCTGATCATCTCTTCATGGTGCAAGTGAGAGTCAGGCAGGTGTCTGACCTGACAGTGGCAATTCAAGGTGAATTCTTGCATGCTTAAAAGTCTAGTCACACATTCATGCAGCTCCACGAATCCTGGTTCAATCCCACCCCTCTGTTTTTTCAGTATACAAAGTGTCCACAATCTACAAAATCTATGAGGCCTGGGATGTTCATATTAGTCATAAATATCTAGTATTCAATTATATCATTTATGAATTACTAGCCGTCCCCTGCCACGCGTTGCTGTGGCCCAGTCTGTGCATATGTATATGTGTATATGTGTGTGTATATATCTGTGTATATGTGTGTTTGCATATATATATGTGGTTTTGCGCATGTGTTGTAATGTAATTTTTGGCTTTTTAAGCCTCTTCTGCTGTGTTTTTCAGTGTTTTTAAGAGTAATGTCCACTCATTGGCCTGATAGGTGTATTGTGTCCAAATTTGGTGTCAATTCTTTCAGTGGTTTTTGAGTTATGTTAATCCCACAAACGAACATTACATTTTTATTTATATAAATTTTTAAGTAGGTAGGTAGGCAGGCAAACGAACTAAGAATCAAATGCAAAATTATCTAGGATGGTCTAAAACCGTATCAGCTCCTTTGTTAAGTATATACAACTAAGTAAATTCTCCTGTCCAGACCCACCGAAACCTGGTGGAAATGTCACTCAACTATGCTCCAGTCACTGGTAGAATTGTCCTCCTTCGTCCCAGTTGACGAAGTAGATGTGTGTGCAGAGGGGAGTTTATGGTTGTGGTAAAGTCTCAAAATCGCAACTTTAGTGATTGTGAATCTATAATTACTCATCCAATAACTGTTTCGTATTCATTGTCACTGCTTAGCTATATTTTACTGAATACAGACAGGAGGTACATAAAAATCCATTTTTAACAAAGTCAGGTGGGATTTTGGCAATTGAACAACTGCTCACAACTAGGGGCCCTTCCACACAGCCATATACCCCAGAATATCAAGGCAGAAAACCCCACAATATCTGCTTTGAACTGGGTAATCTGAGTCTACACTGCCATATAACCCAGTTCAAAGCAGAAAATGTAGGATTTTATTCAGCTGTGTGGAAGGGTCCTAGGCGGTTATTGGCTGGATACTGTGCTTTTCTTAAAGATATCTTTTTAAATCATGTTTTTCACTTGACTTTTAATTCCCTTCTAATAGACGATCTTATTTTTTATTATAATTCTATTATTCAGCATTATCTTCTACACTAAAATCAGGGGCCAGTCCAGAGTAGCAATACTCCAGTTTGGCTCCAGGGGTGGCCACACTCTCCATGTCTATCCTACAGGAGCAATGAGGCTGGTGTGGCTCCACTACATCATCTTTTATTTACTGACCCGTCCAACAATTGCTGAGCACCTTTGCTGGTGTCAGCAACGGTTCCTGACAATGGCCAACAGAGACCCAATCTGTCCTCTTTTTCCTGCTCTACTGAACACAAGGAAAAGAGGATGGCGGTGCCAGCCCATGTGGAAAATGACTGATTCAGATTGGAGCCAGTCATGCTATCACACACACTCTGAAGTGTAGGGCTGCTCCAGAATTTCACCAAACTCTACAGCATTCCCTGACTTTGCTTAACCCAAGTTAACCCAATTTATCCTGTGTTAAGGATCAGACATCAGTGGACAAGGTAAAGGCCTGGTGAGACAAGCTCTTGGAAACTGCCTTGAGTCGCCTGCGGGCTGAGAAGGGCGGTATACAAATACAGTAAATAAATAAAAAGTCTTTGGACTGAAGTACTGTTGAGATAAACCCTTGGGAAAACAGTGGCTAACAAAACTGACCTATTAAACACAAATCAATAACGTTCAGTACCTATTGTGAATTTAATAAATAATGACAGCCAAGATTATTTAGGTGGTACACTCAATTTATTTCACTAGGGTCAACTTCCAAAAACACTTAGCTTGTAATATTCTGAGCCTGTCCAAGGTCACATGGAAGTACATACCACTGCGTGAAATAGGACTTGAGCCCAAGCATATGTGCACGGTATGGCAATCCTATAGCATGATCCTAATTATCATCATATAAGTCCTAGAGTTTACTTTTTTTCAGCTTGAACTCCGAGTTTATGGCATAATCGTATACGATTTCAAGCAATTTCAGAAAGACTTACTTCCCAGTAGGAGGGCTTACGATAGCAACTTGAGTTGCCCAATGGGTTCATTCTAATGTGGTAAACTATGGCTGAGGGATTCTTTTGGTATCCCTCTTTATACCCCTTAAACAGCAAGTGCAGGGAACATCTTCCCCAGCATCCGGTTTCATTCCTGCACTTATTTTGTGATGCTTAGCATCACAAGATAGGATGGGCGACATCGCCAACTAGGAGATGAAGTTGGCAGGGTGAGGATGAGCCAAGTTTGTGAGATGTGAAAGAGCAAAACTTGAAATATGGCACTGCAGAGTACGGTAGGGCAAATCATACTGGCTGCGCCCAGGTCAAGTACGAAAATCTTCTAAGGGCCACACAATGACCCCTGGTTTAGAGTTCCTGTATTCAAGAAACAGTGACACCCCACTATTTACTAAAGTAACAGAATTTCCATCAACAAAACTTAGATCATCTAATTGAGCATAAAGAATTGGACTATTTTTTTGAAGCATCTAATCTTACTGGAGGAAATTTGACTGATTGAAACAAACCTCCTTTATGATTCAAGCATTAATTTTGTCCTTTAAAAAATGTTGCTACAAAAACTCTCTGTAACAAATAACTTTAAAAATCACTATAGTACAAGTTTTGAAAAATAATGCAAATACGTGTTTATTCCTCAAACTATAACACCGAAATAAATCCTTTACAGCCCACTGTGAAACGTTGTCCAAGGGGTACAAATTGAGCTGATTCACAAAGTCCCTTTAAAAAAAGTCACTGTGTTCATTCATTCACTGTGTAGTACAATTACAGTGATTATGCAATTATGCGTACCACTAAAATCTATTATTTGTGTGAAAGTGTTTGCACTTGCTACAGTACTTATTGGGCCAGTTCTAAAAGCTCCGTGTATTATTTATTTGGCACTGGAAGAGCTCAGAAATTTTGTTTTCTCCTCCAACCAAGTTGGTAGCCACAAAGGGCATATAGCCTACAAACATCCCATTTTATTCCCAAACTCTAACAATGCAATCCTATACAGGACTAGGCAAATATACATCCCACCAAGTTCAATGGAGCCTATTGCACCACACAAGCAGGTACAGGATTGTAGAATATGTGCACCAATAAACCTACAGACGTCTATTGCCAAGGAAGGTGTTTCCTCAAACATCAATTGTGACCTATCACTGGTAGCAGTTACTACATACAGAAAGCAGGTTCTGGTGAAGACATGAGCTGACCATGCTTCTGTGAACTGTGAGGGCCCCTTAAAAATACTACCGACTGCCCGAAGACAAACAGGACAGACTTCCAACATGATATGTCAACATTTGCCCAACTAACACCTGTACATTCAGAAAGTTTACGCTTGCCTGCTCTTAAATTTCAGGAATATTATTCATTTTTTACTCTTAACGCACTAACACAATGAGTATTAATAAATAAACTAGAGAAAAGGCTTTTAAAAACTGTATTAATATTACATTGTGCAAAACATTTAATGACCTACATTCTATGCACATACCCTGACTAAAGGATGCAGCCAAATCCAGAAGCCATTACCCAGTTTCTACTCTTTCTTTGGCAACCAACTCTCCAAGGTAAATACAATAGTGACTGGCAGCCATCCAGGACACCATTAAGCACGCCGAAGTCCCCATGATTCAATGGGACATGTGTGCTGAGCAATATACTGGACCAAGTCCTTGTGGCTCACAATTCATGCACCATCCAAACTCAGGACGTTTGCCTCTGGTTCACTTGAGGCCAGCATTCGGCACCGAATAATGACTTCAACATTTGGCCCACTCTTGTGATCTGTGTTACACTCACAATAATCCACTTAAGTGCAGGAGCAAGTTTTTCCCCCAAAGCAAAATCCTTTCCTTGTTGTTTAGGAAAAGATTTAGCACTTGGTTTCAAATATTGCCCTTTCATTGGGAAGATAAATAGCTTATGCAGTTTCTGGTGAAGTAAATCTTTCAGGATCTATTAGAACTTGATTATCCAGCAGGGGTAGGCTTTTCTTTTTCTCTTTCTTTCTTTCTTTCGTTCCAAAGGAAGGAGAATGGCTCAGTATCTATTCATCATCCATCTTTCTTCAACAGGATCAACAGTACTTCGTTAGGAGGTTCTTTACTGCTTATAGGAACGAAACTGTGATGCCTGTGTATTAGGGAGGTGTTCCAGTGAGTTGTCACAGTCCCTTCAAATAGATGCTGGTGGCACCTGAGCCAATCCGGAATCTAAAATTTTGGTTTGTATCTTTTTCCTGTTTTTTTTTCCTCTAATAAAAAAGTGAGTTCAACCAAGTTTAGTAAGTTGAAGATCTCCATTTATCTTTATCGTATCAATAGCTGACAACTTCTCGACGCGATGGTAAAAATCAAAAAGCTGGTGTCCATCCACAAATATTCTAAAACGAGGATGCTCACAAAGTATTTCAACCTGTAAAAGAAATCATGAATTAGGATCACAATTTTAAGTGGAAAGAACATTTCACAGAGTTTAAGCATAATAATAATAATAATAATAATAATAATAATAATAATAATAATAATAATTACAACAGCAAAACAACAGAGGGGGAAAAAAAATCAGTCACATCTAATCACCTCTCAACAAAAGATTGCTCCAGGCACTGCCAGGCCATCAAATGCTAATCAAGGTGGTCAGTTGAAACATTCACACCTAGCTCCAGCAGACAAGAGTTCTTTGTCCCACCCTGGTCATTCCACAGATATATAAACCCACTTTCCTAGTTCCAATAGACCTCACTACCTCTGAGGATGCTTGCCATAGATGCAGGTGAAACGTCAGGAGAAAATGCCTCTAGAACATGATGGGCAACCTTTTGCGGTTGGTGTGTCAAAATTCACCAAAAACCTGAGCATAACTTGGGTGGGGTGTCACTTCAAGAAAAAATGGCAATATTTATAGTTTAAATAAGAAAAATGTATAATCCATGCTGAGTTATAGAGTGAACAATTAAATTTGTAGAGCCTTTTACAAATTTAAGGATGGAATTAGTTTGGCTCTTATAAGGTGTACTTCTCTATGTCTGCGTGTCATCAAAAATATTTGAAAAGGTGTCACATTGAGGAAGGGCCAAGCTCTAGAGCAGGGTCCACAAACTTTTTAAAGAGAGGGCCAGGTCACAGTCCCTCAAACTGTTGGAGGGCCGGATTATAATTTGAAAAAAACATGAATGAATTCCTATGAACACTGCACATATCTTATTTGTAGTGCACACTTAAAAACAATACAATAATTAAAAATATAAATATAAACTTATTAGTATTTCAATAGAAAGTGTGGGCCTGCTTTTGGCTGATGAGATAGGATTGTTGTTGTGTTGTTGTGTGCTTTCAAGTCATTACAGACTTAGGTTGACCCTAAGCGAGGGCCGGGTAAATAACCTTGGAGGGCCGCATTCAGCCCCCGGGCCTTAGTTTGAGGACCCCTGCTCTAGAGCATGGCCATATAGCCCGAAAAAACCTACAACAACCCAATAGTAATAAACTTTATTTATACCCCGCCACCATCTCCCCAAAGGAGATTCGGGGTGGCTTACATGAGGCCAAGCCCGACATAACAACAACGCAATACAAAAACATGAAATAAATATTGCAAAAGATAAATAAAGCAAAAATAAAATAAAACAATACAAGGAAAAATCAAACACGATTGCAATGAGCGGGCCACATGTACAGGTAACGATAAAATTCAGGATGAGATCGAAATAAGAACAGGTATATTTTAAGGGAGAAAATAATAAACAACGGAGCAATGGAGACAGGCCTTCATAATGGCAGGAAGCAGTGCAGACTGTGGAGGACCATTAAGGAACATTAAGGGGGAGAGTGACAGTGGGAGATGTAAAGGTATGAAGGTCGGAACTGCTATTGATGTTCTATTGCAGTGGTTCTCAACCTGTGGGTCCCCAGATGTTTTAGCCTTCAACTCCTAGAAATCCTAACAGCTAGTAAACTGGCTGGGATTTCTGGGGGTTGTAGGCCTAAACACCTGGGGACCCACAGGTTGAGAATCACCGTTCTATTGCATCTATGGGGGATTGGATTAGATCAGTTCCAGAGTTACTCTGACCCTGTGAAATCAAGTCATGTGATTACATGATTATAGATTATAGATCATAGCCACTTTACCAAGTCTGTTGTATGTGGACCTAAAAGACCCAAGGGAATTCGGAAAACAAATCCTGTTTGTAGGAATTTTGCGTGCCATTTGGTCAGCTACTTTCTCGCAGCTTCAATTCTATTTCTGCCCCAATTCTATAAGAATTGATTATTTGCTCATTAAATGTACAATATATGTGCATTGCCAAGTTAACACTGGTTTACAAATGGCAATGCCTAGGAGTGACTGATCTCCCAATGAATTTGTAGCAGTGCACACAAATGTTCCTAGACAAACCATTCATGCAAATAATACAAATCAGCCTTTGTTCCAAAGCACTTCCCTTTTTCATAAAGCTGAGACTGTCACATGTATATTATACAAAACAGCATCTGCAACAACTGCAAAATGTACAGTCCTTCTATTGTTGACCACCTCAACAACTCTATGACTTAAGATTGTTACCATTCCCATTTCTCAGATAAGGAAATGAGACAAAGCACTGTGACTTAATAAAAGGAACCCCAAGTGGAAATAATATGAGACAGACTGTTCAACTGCGGAAACTAAGGTTGTGAAAGTCTGGTATAGAAAGAAAAATGTCTCATACATGAGCTCCTAGCATGGGTGAACTATGACAAATTAGTCAAGAGACTAAACACATCCATTATAATTCAGTGGTTCTCAACCTGGGGTCCCCAGATGTTGTTGGCCTTCAACTCCCAGAAATCCTAACATTTGGTAAACTGGCTGGGATTTCTGGGAGTTGTAGGCCAAAAACATCTGGGGACCCCAGGTTGAGAACCACTGCATTACATCACCACCACCACCACCATCATCATTATCCACAAAAAAGCATTAAAAACATTTCAATACAATTTTAAATCCAAATATATAAAAACATTGAAATAGAATTGAACATTGATGGTATTAATTAAAAATTACCCGTATATACTCGAGTATTAGCCGACCCGAATGTAAGCTGAAGAACCCAATTTTACCACAAAAACCTGGGAAAATATATTGACTCGAGTATAAGCCAAGGGTTGGAAACGCAGCAGCTACTGGTAAATTTCAAAATAAAAATAGATAACAATAAAATTACATTAATTGAGGCATCAGTAGGTTAAATGTTTTTGAATATTTACATAAAACTGTAATTTAAGAAAAGACTGTCCAACTCTGATTAAACCATTATTCTAACCTTCTTCAATGTAAATGTGCTTACATATCCTTCTAATAATAATAATAATAATAATAGAGTAAAATAATGGATATAATAATAATAATAATAATAATAATAATAAATGGAGTAAAATAATAAATCTATATAAATAAAAATGTAATGTTCGTTTGTGGGATTAACATAACTCAAAAAGCACTGGATGAATTGGCATGAAATTTGGACACTACGCCCCAACAGACCATGAGTGACCATCACACAAAAGCCCCCCCCAAAAAAAAAAAAAAAAACAGCGGAAAGGACTTAAATATCCAAAAAAGCTAAATGATGATACATAAAAGGGTAGGAAGAGGGAGAGAAGGAAGGGGGGAAAGAAAGAAAGAAAGAAAGAAAGAAAGAAAGAAAGAAAGAAAGAAAAACAGCGAAGGAAGGAGAGAAAGGAAGGAAGAAAAGGGAAGGAGGGAAGAGAGAAGGAAGAAAGGAGAGAAGGAAGAAAAAAGAAGGAGGAAAGAGGAGCAAAGGAAAGAAAGAAAGAGGGAGGGAAGGAAAGTAGGAGAGAAGGAAGGATGGAAGCAAAAAGCAAAGGAAGGAAATAGATAGAGAAGGGAGAAAGGAGCAAAAGAAGAGGAGAAAGAAAGGGGGAAGGAAGGAAAGAGGTAGAGAAGGAAGGAAGGAGAGAAGAAAAGAAGAAAAGGGAAGGAAGGAAAGAAAGAGGGAGCGAAGGAAGAAGGGAAAGAAGGGGAGAAAGAGAGAGGGAAGGTTGGCCACAGCAACGTGTAGCGGGTACAGCTAGTGTAATAACAATAATAATAATAACAACAGATTAAAATAAAATAATAAATAATCTTGACTCAAGTATAAACCAAGGGGGGCTTTTTCAGCCTAAAAAAGGGCTGAAAAACTTGGCTTATACTCGAGTATATATGATGACAGTTAAAATCCTTAAAACTGACTTTCTCCTAACAGAATCACGCCATGCTTGCAGTTCAGTACTTCAGCACTGAACCACAAAAGGACCCAATAAGAGTTATCAAAGTGAGTTGGAAATTTGAGCTAAGAATCACACCATCCATGTTTACACCCCCTCCACTGCTCTTCAGAATAATGATTTCCATAGGATTTAGGCTGAGCTAAATCAACTGTGGACAAATTAGAATTCCATAATTCAATTTTTTGTAGCTACACACATCACACGCACAGATCTGAACTAAGTTTTAAAGGGAGCTATTTCAAACGATTTAAGACTGTGTGTTCCTACCGATTAACAGAGAATCTTATCCAATCTGTCATTCTCTTCTTCCACAGCAGTCTTGAAATTGTGAAGACTACCTCAAGAATTATTCTATTGATTTCAGCAAAATAAGTAGTTTTGGACTAATTGACTTAAAGTGTCACTTGTGGAAATAAACATAGCATTCTACGAGAGCTTATGTTTGTGCAACCCCAGGGAAGCAAAAGGCGTTATCACAGATCTTGATACACCAACAAGTTTAAACATATATTGGGAGGTTCATCATTTGATGCCTGAAATATAATGTCATGCCGTACAATCATGGCAGACCACAGAAATAGTTATTATAGTATTCACTTCACTTCAGACACAATGCACTTCAAACATAACGCCTGCAAAAGATGCACCTTCCCAACAGGAAGATGCAACTGTGGTCAAAATGATCATCGTAACCCATTTTGCTGTAGCCTGATCTCTTTGTTGTCTTAAATCTTCCTGTAGTTAGTTAATTGTACTGACACAACTACGAGCACTTCAATGGAGGGTGTGGCTCTCTTTTTAAATAAATAAGAACTTTTGAACAGCTTGGCAAGCGCCGTAATTACTTCTTCAAAATATGCAATCACAACTTTTGTGTGGCACATAGATATTTTTTTTTTGTGTCAGGAGCAACTTGAGAAACTGCAAGTCGCTTCTGGTGTGAGAGAATTGGCCATCTGCAAGGACGTTGCCCAGGATATGCCGGGATGATTTGATGTTTTTATCATCCTTGTGGGGAGCTTCTCTCATGTCCCCACTTGGGGAGCTGGAGCTGACAGAGGGAGCTCATCCACCTCTCCCCAGATTCGAACTGCGACCTGTCGGTCTTCAGTCCTATCGGCACAGGGGTTTAACCCA